AGTCCTAACCCTAACACTAGTGTAGTTATGCTCTAATTCTAATGTTAAGACCTCCCATACTTTTCAGTGAAATCTCAATGCTATTCCCTCATTCATTCCCCAAATTCACAGGCCCTAGCACCAGTACCTAAGGTGATAGAAAAATTCCTTCCCAGTGTGCTTATGTGAGCTCCCTCTCCTTCCACTACGTGTGTGTGCTGCATTCTACTCTGGAACCTGTAGTAACCACACTGGTGGAGACATCAAATACACCATACTTAGGGGGTTAGCAATACTCTGGTGTTCAGGTAAGGTTTTCACCCCGAGGTTAGACTTATTCAGTGATCATCATATGAGGGGCCAAATGACCCAGGAGCAAAAACTCCAGGGCATTGGCCCTCATGTGCAGTTTCATGAATGCTCTTTAGAAGTAAGTAGATAGATAGAACATATAATGAAAGTGTAAATGGAAGTTTCTCATCTTGTCTACCTGTTCCCAAATACCTGGCAGCCACTTCCCAAATAATTAACTCAGGCTTAATATAACTTATAAATACTTGGCTGATAGCTCAGGCTTGTTACTAGTTAACACTTACACTTAAATTAACCCATATTTCTATTTATGCTTTGCCACTTGGCTCATGGCTTGTTGCCTCATTTTCTACACGTCCTACTTGTCCGGTGACTGGCTTGCATCTCCTCCAACTCTCCTGACTCCACCCTTCTTTCATCATTCTCTCTGCATCAAGCTGTCTCACCCAATCTCTTCTTGTGGTGTTATTGGCCAGTCAGGTTTTTTGTTTGTTCGTTTTTGGTTTCTTGAGACAGGGTTTCTCTGTGTAGTTTTGGTGCCTGTCCTGGATCTCACTCTGTAGACCAGGCTGACCTCTAACTCACAGAAATCTGCCTGGCTCTGCAAGTGCTGGGACTGGGACTAAAGGCATGCACGGCCACACACAGCAACCTGCATTTCCTAATTATTCTAAACAGTTTGTAATAGCTTTCAAGGACTAGACCTTCTACTTTCCGGGTACTGGGGATTGGACTCAGGTCATCAGACTTGGCAGCAGATGCCTTACCAGCTGAGTCCTCTTGCAGGCTGTATCATGTTGTTTTAATCAGGTATGTGCCACAAATAATGTTAACTCAAAATAGTTGCTTACTTTCTTTCTTTATACACAGGACCTTAAGGTCATAGGAAGCGAAGTAATAGATTTCCAGGCATAAAACCTATCACAGTCCAATAAATTGGAGGAAGAAAGAGGAAAGCATATGTTCAAAGAAAAAAAAAGTGAAATATTGCAATGTTTCCAACTTAAAGCAGAGTTGGGGCTGGAAAGACGACTCAGTAGTAAAAGGTGCTTGCTTCAAAGGTTTGGTGACCTGAATTCCAATCCCTGGAGCTTACCTAATGTGGGGGGCCAGCCCCCACAATTATTTACCCCAGGGACTCTTGAGGAATGAGGGATAAGAAACTTAGGTAGAAATAAAGAGAGGAGTGAAACAGAAAATACAGGGTAGTCTCGGGTGGGCCTGCATCCTTATCCACCAGCCGTGAACTTGATTCCAAAGGGCTATTTATAACAATGCCAAGGGGAGGGGCAAAAGACCTCCCCCTTGCTAGTTACAGTCAAGTGTAGACCCTTACAAACACCTGGTACTGAGGCCCATGATCAAATCATCCTCTTATGCAGTCCTGCTGGGTAAAGCCACTCGGAAGCCTCGATGGGCTCCAACAGCCCCCCCTTCTTAATATTTAAAAAAGAACTCCCCATTAAGAACTCACAGCAATCTTCATAACTGTCATACCTCCCAGTACAGGAGTAGAGGATGATAAGGATGGAGTTTCCCTTTTGCAATGGGTCTAAGGTGGTTACAGCAGTCTTAGCTGCATCCAGCCCTTTCTAAACCAAAAAAAGTTCTTGATGCAACTATAAAAAATTAAAGACTCCCCTAGCTTCATCATTAAAATTAACAGGTTAACATAATTCTAACATAAATATTGATATACATAGTTACAATACTCTCAATCTTACCTCTTAAAGCAAACTCTTAATAGAACCATTTGAATTTCTAGCTAACAAAACATTTGGTAAACTTCTGATGCATTCACATCAAACTTAAATATTTCCTTAACTTCACCAAACCATGGTGCATTAATATCAATAGGTTAACATACTAACTGCAACATAAACATTACTATTAACAATTATAATTCCTACAAACTACATTCAACCTTAATTCATGCATAACTCGCCCTTTTCTTTATAATTTTTTAAACAATCTCAAACCTAGTTAGAGAAAACCCAAATTTTTCTATTTAAACAGTTCCATTTTTACATAATCGGTTCCATAAATCATCAGCATTAATAGAGTCTATATACATAAGTAAATTCAAACTGTCCCAATGTAATGAAATCATTACTATCCATTTCATAAGTTCAAAAGTTCAAAAAAAAATAAGTTCTGGTTGGGCGGTGGTGACGCACGCCTTTAATCCCAGCACTCGGGAGGCAGAGGCAGGCGGATCTCTGTGAGTTCGAGGCCAGCCTGGTCTACAAAGTGAGTTCCAGGAAAGGCACAAAACTACACAGAGAAACCTTGTCTCGAAAAACCAAAATAAAATAAAATAAGTTCTGGTGCCAGGTCTAAAAGTTCCTCTGAGCACTTGAAATCAGGGCCTGGCTTGTCAGCTGCCCTTAAGTCTTTGTATAGCAAAAAGCTGCAAATATAAGAGCCTCATAACTGAAACGTTTTTCAGTTCAGGCAAGTCTCTCTGAAACTTTTACTCAGGATTTTACAGTTTTTACAGTCCCAGTCTGTCTGTGCCTCCTATAACCGGGCCATTCCCAGACCCCTGTGTTCTGAGGCCAGAGAGCCTTCAAACATCTCACAGCTGTACAGGTTCAAGGCTACTTCATCCTCTATGAGCTGAACCATGGCCCTCCCACAGCAACCCTGGCTCTGGGAGGGTCCCATTACCTGCTTTGTCATCATCGTACAGAGCTCAGCACCCCGGGTCCCAGAATCCTCTGTTACTTGGGTGCTAAGAAATCACTGAAGCATCTTTTGAATTAAATTGATTTTTTTTTTTTCAGTCCTTGGAATTGAACCAGAGCCTCACAAATACTGGGCAACTGTTCTGTGAGCACCAGGCGTAGAGGCCAAACACCCAGACACATACAAAATAATTAAAACCAAAACACAGCACCAGCCTTTTGAGGGAGGGATAAAGAGCTGGCTGCGTGTTAGTCAAGACTCCTTCTGTTAAGTCCATGCTGAATCTAGGCCACCCAGGACGGTCCTTAGGCAACTACATAAGGTTAAACCGAAGAAAGTGAAGGTAAAACATCTTCTCATTGCTTGGGCTCAGAAGGCCAGAAGGTTTCTTTCATGCTCAAAGACATGGCACCCTAGGGCTATTTTGGTTCCCTTCCAATAAAAGCTACCAGGAACAAAGGCCGTGGGCATCTTCTGCCACTCCCTTTCCCCAATGTGCCTTCTTGGTTCTCTACTGTATCTTTTCATTCACAAAACTCTATGAAAGTGGGACTTTCTTTCCCCTTCTACTTTCCACCCTGCCCACACACAGATCTCCAGCTTGCCTGCTCTTTTTTCTCTCCTGGACTCCAGTAAATTGTCTTAAATTTCCTTCTGAACTCATTTTTAAGTTCTCTCTCTTCCTTTCTCTCTCTGTCTCTGTCTCTCTCTGTCTCTCTCTCTCCTGTTTTTGTTTTTGTTTTTTGAGACAGAGTTTCTTTGTAACCTGTCCTGCAATTCACTCTGTAGACCAGGCTGGCCTTGAACTCACAGAAATCTACCTGCCTCTGCCCACCACGTGCTGGGATCAAAGGTGTGCACCATCACTGCCTGTCTCTGAGCTCATTTTTAAGTTCTTTTATTAATAGGACCAAGACTTGCAAAGGAGACGTGCCTTGGAAGAGGATTATTTTGCCCTATCTCTTGGTTCTTATTTTGTTATAAAATAGGCACACGCGCGCACAGGCACACACACACACACAAAACAAACAAACAAAAAGACCAGTGTAACCATGATAACCACGATTTGGTGATGGCATCATTCAGGAACTGGATTATGTTTCTTTCTCTGTTGAATGTTAAAGAGTACCAACATAAAGTAGTGTATAGAACTGAACAATATCCTTGTCTAATTTGGGCATTGAGGAAAGAAATCAGGCAGTATGGGCATAGGGAAATGTAACATATTATTTTATTTATTTAGGAGAGATTTCTTTTTGGGACAAGGCCCTGCTGTATAGCCCAGGCTGGCCTCAGACTTGTGGCAATTCTTTTGCTTTCATTTCTCAAGTGCTGGGAGTACAAGAGTGCAGCTCTGTACCTGGCTGTAATCATTAGTGTTTCTTTAAAGACATGAACACTGCACTCCAGATCATCTATAATTGAATAAACAAACCCAAGCAGACAAATTTCTAGGCTACCATATTATTCTAGGTAATTCATTCTGAACCAATTCTCTATCTTTGGACAATTTCATATGGGTATAGTTAAAAATGTGTTTATTGTATAGTTTAGGAAGCTCATGTATTTTTAGGATAAGGAAAAAGAAATTCTGAGTTCTAGTCTTGGTGATCTGATTCTCCTATCTACCCTCAATACTTCAGCTAAAACCTCTGTTAAACCATAGAACTGCTTGCTTCTCCCCAGTCAGTACCTGATTTCAGTGTGCTCTCTGTTTTCTTATTTGTTTCTGGCTAGTCTTTTTTAAGACAGAAGAATTTAAGATATTAAAAATATATGAAATATTTAGTGAAGGTGCTTTACCACCTTGCTTTATTAAATCCTATCTGTATGCAGGCCCATCACATTCACCTCCACTGGTATGCTCTAGTCTGGACTTGACATGGAGCATTCCCAGGCTGCCCTACTGTGCTTACTCTGACTTCTCCAAGGCCTCCCCCCCTCCGTAGCTGAACCTTGCTTTTTAGGTCGAATCTGGTTGGAGCCAAGCCACCCTTTTCCAACCCCAACCCCAGGAACACCTGTGAAGTGTTTCTTCCCTCGCATCTTCCTGGGGACCAGAAGTAGTTGGCCAAAGTTGGTGTTGCCTGGTCATCTCCAGTTCCCTTTTGAGGACTTGATGTTATGAGCTTGTATTCATTTACTTATCTTCTGGGCATTTCTGGCTCTGTGGTCATCCTTTGAATCACCTGTGTCTCCTGAATCCAGTCAACATACTCAAGGGTAATTGTTATGTCAGGGATGGAGTTCTGTGATTATTCTGAAATCAGTTATTTGGTTGATTGGCCTTTTTTGCATTCTTTTTCCTCTGCCTCAATCTGGGCTGGGACAGAGACTGTCTTTTTGGTTCTCCTTGAACATTTTTCTTCCATTACACTTACCTCACTATTTAGTCACAGTCTCCTTTTTATATCTCCTTTTCCCTAAGGACAAAGAAGGAAGACTTCTAGTTGTGTGTCATTAGTAGGTGGCACAACATAGGCCCTGAGTAAATGTTTATTAAACAGATAAATACATGAGCGGAGTGAAATCCAGCCAGGGATAAACACACACTTGGGCTACATGACCAACATGCTTGCCATGTTTCTGATGGAATTTTGCTGTGGATATCTCTATATATAAATAAAACACTGATGGCCAGTGACCAGACAGGAAGTATAGGCGGGACAAAAAGAGAGGAAAATTGGGGAAACAGGAAGAAGGAGGAGAGACACTGCAGCCACCTCCAGGACAAACAGCATGTAAAGATACCGGTAAGCCACCAGCCACGTGGCAAGGTATAGCATCATAGAAATGGGTTAATTTAAGATATAAGAACATTTAGCAAGAAGCCTGCCACAGCCATACAGTTTATAAGTATTATAAGCATCTGAGTGATTATTTTATATGTGGATTGTGGGACTGTGGGGCTTGGTGGAAGCTGGAGAGAAGCCCTCCAGCAACAGAATTTTTTTCACAACAGCATAACAAAATGAACAGAAAACCAACTAAGATGGGTGTGTGTATATATGGAACAGCACAGACTGAGGTGGGTCCTAGGCTTTGAGATGGATTTTGGTGTATTTGTAGCCTATACTCCCAGCACTGAGGAAGAAATACATTGATTTTTGCTCCATTGTGGAGGCCCACAGAGGCTTCCTAGTAAGACCTAACTCAGGGTCAGAGAATCTGAGCTTGCTTTACTCAGCAGGGCTGCAAAATGGGATGATTTGGCCAAGGGCACGTTTACCAGGTGTTTGGAAGTGTCTACGCTTGGCTATATGCTTTGATCTTGCAACGGGAAGGTTTTTTTGCCTCTCCCCTTGACATATTATAAAAAGTCTTTTGAATAAACTTCTGAGTGACTGGGTATTGATACAGGGCCCAAAGTTATCCTATGTCTCTTTCTATCTTTCTACTTAATATTTCCTCATTCCTCTCTCCTCCACCCAAGAACCCTTCGACAGATCAGAGCTGGACTCAGACTCCCACACTCCATGACTGTGTGTATCTCTGAGCATACTTCACTTGGTTTATTCAGAAAATCTTGGGGAACAATTTAAAGTTTAGAAAGGCACACTTTTTTTTTTTTTTTGGTTTTTTCGAGACAGGGTTTCTCTGTGTAGTTTTGGTGCCTGTCCTGGATCTCACTCTGTAGACCAGACTGGCCTTGAACTCACAGAGATCTGCTTGGCTCTGCTTCCCGAGTGCTGGGATTAAAGGCGTGTGCCACCACCACCTGGCAGAAAGGCACACTTTTAATAGTTGAGCAAGGGACTTGATGAGGTCAAGGAACAAGAACAAAGGTAGCCTGGTTATTAATTTCTTGCTAAAGATGGCTTGGTGACCAGAGGTGATGATTAATTTCTTGTACCCTTCAGCTTCCTAATATGATTTAATAAAAAAAAAAAACTGTTACTGAGTGAATATGCACCCTGAGGATTTAAAGTAGAGATGACTAGTTGTTTCATATATAAAAGTTTAGATTTGTGATTCTTTTAAGATTTTTTTAATGATTATCTTTTGAGATAATTACCTTTTGAGATAATAAAATGATTGATCCTTTCTTTGTAACCACAAAATGCAGTCTGCCAATAAAAGAGCTGACTAAGAAAATTACCTTGTTTCCTTACACTTTGTTAATAAGTGATTGGACATGACAATATAACAAGTTGATTGGACATGAATGTATGTGGGTCCTTGGGAATAATTTGTTTTTCACCTGTAATGTGTAAAATGTTTAATCATGTAAGGGAAATGAGAAACATGCTGTTTTTTAGTTGTATTTATTGTAATCATTCACTTAAAAGGTAGAACGTAACCACATTGTAATTTTTATATTGCTTGAAAGATTTTGCTGGGGTGTATAAGCTGGAAGGGGAAAAAAATAGAGTTAGAAGGAAAACATCAGGAAATAGGTGAAAGGAAAACATCAGGGAATGTTTGCTGAAGGTGTGTGGTGTGTGGTGTGTAGTGTGTGGTGTGTGTGTGTGTGTGTGTGTGTGTGTGTGTGTGTGTGTGTGTGTGTTTTCCCCTTTTTTGCCAGCCCCAGGAAACTGTTTCACTCCCTCAGAGAAAAAAGTCAATTGTGTGATTAGCTGCCGACTCTACACCTCCTCTTCAGTTCCTGGCCTGTTGAGAGCTGGCTTTTCAGCAGGAAAGGAAGTGAGTCTAGCTTGTAGCTAATGCATACAAATTATTAAATGAAGTTTTAAAATGTAACTGATGAATTAATATTTGATCATTTGTTGCCTTTACATTTTACTAAATCATGTATTTCTAATCATATTTTGAAACTGGATGAATGTTTATTTTCTGGTAGGTATTTTTTTTAAATATATATTTTATTTTACAATACCATTCAGTTCTACATATCAGCCATGGGTTCCCCTATTCTCCCCCCTCCCACCCCCTCCCCTTACCCCCAGCCTACCCCCCATTCCCACCTCCTCCAGGACAAGTCCTCCCCCGAGGACTGCGATCAACCTGGTAGACTCAGACCAGGCAGGTCCAGTCCCTTCCTCCCAGACTGAGCCAAGTGTCCCTGCATAAGTTCCAGGTTTCAAACAGCCAACTCATGCAATGAGCACAGGACTTGGTCCCACTGCCTAGTTGCCTCCCAAACTGATCAAGCCAATCAACTGTCTCACCTATTCAGAGGGCCTGATCCAGCTGGGGGCCCCTCAGCCTTTGGTTCATAGTTCATGTGTCCATTCATTTGGCTATTTTTTTTCAATAATTGAGTAAAACTGAAATTTATTATAAGCCACAGTCGTCCTAGAGACCTCCATGCTATATATATAGCCTCTATGGTTCTATGGGTTGTGGTCTGATTGTTCTTTATTTTATATCTAGAATCCTCTGGTAGGTATTTTTAAAAAAGATTTATTAATTTTTATTTATGTGTGTGTGAGAGAGAGTTTATGTGTGCCAGATGTGTGAAGGTGCCCACTGAGGCCGGAGTGTGTTGCTCTCCTGGAACTGGAGTTATAAGTGGTTGTGAGCTACCTGACATGGGTGCTGGGAACTGAACCAAGTTCTCTGCACAAGCAGTCTGCACTCTGTAGTTGGACTTTTCTTTGGGCTGCCAGCTCACAAAAAATAACACAGGGCTTATATGCTAATTATGAAAGGTCAGCTGTAGCTTGGGCTTGTTTCTAACTAAATTAACCCATTTCTATTAATTTACTTTCTGCCTTGTGGCTTTATTACCTCATCTCTGTACTGCCCATCCTGTTTTCTGCATCTCTGCCTTCTTCTCAGTGTCCTCTCTGCCCAGAAATCCTGTTCAGCTTTTTATTAAACCAATCAGAGTGACACATTTTCACAGTGACAAAATGGTTATTTTGCAGCAGTACTCTAAACTGACGAGACTGTCTCCAGCCTCTGTGGAGATATTTTAGAGGCAAAGTTTCATAGTGACCTATAAATTTGGCAGATATGTTTACTTTTTGAGAGGCTGTATTGATTTTGAAAATCTTGCTTATTATAAATGATTTTATGCAGAATATTGTCCAGTCCAAGTGATCAGCTTTGAAAACGTACATACAAATAATTTTATATGGACTTAACAGGTTATATTTAGGAATATATATATATATATATATATATATATATATATATATGCATGTAATAACAATTACTGAAAAAAGAGGCCATAAATTTGAAGGAGAGTGGGGAGAGACATTTGAAAGAGTCTGGAAAAAGGAAAGAGAAGGTAGAAGTGTCTTAATTATATTATAATCTCAAAAATAAAAACTTAAAAGCATAATAGTGGAAATTGTATAGTTACAAGCATTAAAAAAAAAGATGTGACTCTAAAAGTCACTTTCCTACAAAGACAAGCAGTGGGAATTAGCAAGACAGAAATGAAAGAAGACAAAACAATCTCAGTCGTAACAACGTTACCAGAAAGCAAGCCAATGACATATTTGGGCGTGGGGGCAGCAGTTAATGGGCTAACCAGGCCTCTGTCACCCACAGGCCAACTGGGATAGACCATGCTTCCTCTTATACTTTGAGAAGATGCAGGCCATCATGTTATGAAGTCATGGCAGAGTTTATGGTGATGGCCGTTTGTAGCTAGAGCTTACTACCTAGCACCAACCAGGAGGCTGAGAGCTCAAGAGGGCCACCTGGAGCCCACAAGCCTCACCCCTGCAGTTCTGCCCATTAGGCCCCATGTTCAAAAGATTCTAAAACCCCCAGAACTGTACCCTTTGCTGGGGGTCAACTGTACAAAACATTCAAGTCATAACAGATTCCACTGAGTTTCTAGAAAAACAACCTGATTTGGTAGTTATTAATAGGGTGGGGGAAGGGTAGACTTAACTCCTTTTTGCCACATAGTGCCAAATCTGGTAATTAGGAATGTTACCTGAAACTTACTCCCTCCCACTTCCTGAATTGCTGAGAAATCCAGGATGTTCAGCAGCTGTGGGGTCCAGATGTCCCTTATATGTCTTTAGAGTCCGCAGTGATTTGAATGAGAATGGCCCCCATAGGCTCATATATTTGAATGTTTGTTTCTCAGTTGGTGGAACTGCTCAGGAAGGATTAGGAGGTGTGGCCTTGTTGGAGGAGATATCATTGGGCATAGGCTTTGAGGTTTCAAAAGCCCCCACTGTCTGAAACTGTAAGTAAGCCCTCAATTGAATGCTTCCCTTTATAAACTGCCTTGGTCATGGTGTCCTTTGCAGCATAGAACAGTGGCTAGACAGGGTCCTCA